AGTTTCGTGTCACACCCAGTTGCCGAGAACGACGTCCAAGGTATTTTTCATTTTCTTTTTTGCGCTCTTTATTTTTGTAGGTATTTTACATATATATATATATATATATAAATATCTTTTTATTTTATTATTATTATCATCATGATTATTATTATTATTATCTTTCTTTTTATCCTCCTACCAATATTCCAATCTTTACCTTTTTTATATCGTCGAAGCGTATCATCAAAGAACGTCGAACGCTCCGCAAAATCGAACTTTTCATCGATTTTTATCGTCGTGGGCGTGACATTATTCGAACTTAATATTAAATTCTAAAACAATTTTCAGGTTATTTTATATATGATCCATATGGAAGGGAGCACCACGTGTCAGATGTATATCCGCATTAAAAGGAAAAGAAGAGAAGAAAAGATAAAAAAAAAAAAAAAAAAAAAAAGAAAAATCTATTACGTGTAAATAGCATTTGAAATTCCGACCATTCCTCGCTTCATTCATTTTAAGATTCTATCCCTCGTACTAATTACGAATTCGAGTATCTTTTGAAAAAAAAAAGAAAAAAGGAAAAAATTTTGCAGGGACTTCATGCATTTATTACAATGCACATTCATGCATTTATTACAATGCACCAAGTATTTCGCTGATCTTCCTCAATTTCTTTTCTCCTTGCACGGTCGCGAAAATATTTTCCAATATTTCTTATAGTTACATAATATATAATATCAAAACGATGCAATCGATGATGCAATATGTTGCATCAATAATCGTATGCGATTATAAATTGTCGTATAGTGTCAACGCTTACGATATATACATGTATGTATATCTTTGGGAAATATATTATATTTCTGATTATTCGTCTCTTTTAAATCCAACGTTTTCCGAATTATAAAAAAAAAAAAAAAAAAGAAAAAAAAAAGAAATATGACTCTGGGAGATAGGGAAATCTCGAAAGAATTATCGTTTTCACGATCGGAATAGGAAATGATAAATGAGGGAGTAGCAACTTCTGGAGGTGGCTCGTATCCCCTCTAAACTCTTTTGGGAGATTTAGGGGTGGAGGAACCTAAAGAAGAAGAAGAAGAAGAAGAAGAAGAAAAAGAAGGAAGAGGAAGAGGAGAAGGAGGAGGAGGTGGAAGAAGCAGAAGGGGAGGTGGATTAGGAGAAGATGTTAAGATACCACGCGGATAGCCATATACTCTCGTTTGTTCTTTCTCTCTCGCTACGGGGGACACTAAAAATATCGCGAAAACACCTTCTCGTGTGGAGTCGAACAATGAGAGTCCATGTTTATTCTCCTCTCCTTATTATTATTGCCCGGTCGACCGTAGGAGAGCCGTAAGCGCGCCTCTTGAAGGGCAAGCGTGGGCGAGAGAGAGAGAGAGAGAGAGAGAGAGAGAGAGAGAGAGAGGAGACCGAACGAAAATGGCGTGTGTACGTGCCTCCTCTTCTCCGCATTTTCTTATTCCTCTTCTCCTTCTTCTTATGCATTCTCAAATACATATACATACATACATACATACATATATATATATATATACATATATATATACATATATATATATATATATATATCCTATATATATATATGTGTATGTATAAACGTATAGAGAGGCACAGTCAAGCGAATAGTCCTGTTCATGCGCGCAAATGTCAATGACGTTTAAAAATAGTAAGCGGACTACCCGAGAACGTCGTCTTTCCAGATATACTGGAACGCTTCTCTCTCTCTCTCTCTCGCTCTCTTTCTCTCTGTCTCTCTCTTTCTACGTCGCCCATCGCCGTCAATATCAGCCTCGTCGAGGTGTATCGTGATCCTGACCTTGAATCGACCCTCGACCCTAAACTAAGTACGTCCATCGAGGGAACTCGAATGGGCTTACACGTATATATGTATGTACGTATGTATGTGTATTTATTTGTGTTTGCGCGCGCCCGTGCGCGAGAGAGAGAGAGAGAGAGAGAGAGAGAGAGAGAGAGACGAGAAGTTCAGTTCTCATTATCCTTGCAGCAGATGGCAGTGTTGACTTTGAACGAACTGTGACCTCTCGGTCCTTCGATCCTTTCTGTTCGTCTCCCAGTCCACCTCTTTTCCCTCCTCCATCCGTCCATCCGTCCATCTGTCTGTCTGTCTCTCCTCCCGTTTAATTTTTTTGCCCCTTTTCTAAGCACAATCGTTACGCCCCTAGATTGACCTATTATACTACCCCTCTTCGGCTTGATCTGCGTAATTTGATTTAAAGATTACGTGCTTGTTTAATTCGATTCTTCCTTTTTCTCTCCTCTTCTTTTTATTCTTCTTTTTTTTCTATTCTTTTTGAGCGATTTCAAAAATCTATATATATATATATGTATATGTATATATCTTTTTATTTTTTTTTTTTTTGATTGTCATTGGTAACAAAATGTTAGTTTGCGAATCTAAACGGAATGAACGAAAAACTATACGTATTCTCTTTGACTCTCATCTATTGGCACAGACGTAGTTTCGATAATAAGAATAATACTTGAACTATTTACGACCTTGAACACTTGTCGCTCATAATAATCGTGTTCATCAGGTAAAAAGAATTAAAAGACCGGCTCAGTGTCTTCAGTCCGGCGCATTCGGCTCGTACGGTCCATAACCTTGAGAGACCATAGTTTACATTGATAGAGACTGAGAAAGAGAGAGAGAGAGAGAGACATAGAGACAGAGAGATCGATACGGAATTGTATTGTTCGTCGAAACGGTCGTTCGTTCTCGAAAGACCTTGGATCTGGCTTCTCGTTCATTGAATTATCGCGCCGGTAAACGTCAAACGATCGATTTCAATCGGCTAAATAAAGCGATAACGGTTGTCCCGTTTGTGTTTTAACTTGAGATATAAACAAAATTTTATATATTCTTAGAATGAAATTAATTGGATCAGTACCTTTCTTACTTATCGTCGATTTGTTTTCTTTTCTCTTATCAAATAATTGTTAATAACTTCGCATGTAATTTCGTTGTTACCTTCCTTCCTTCCTTCCTTCCTTCCTTTTTCCTTACTTTTCTTTTTTGTCTTTTTTTCTTCTTCTTCTTCTTCTTCTTCTTCTTCTTCTTCTTCTTCTTTTTCTTTTTCTTTTACTCTCGAAACATTTGAAAGAAACGCAAAGGTCATCTCGTTACTAAACTCGAATAGATCGATAATCTATTATAGTTGATTTTAAGTTGATTTTTTAAAACGAGCAAATAAATAACCACGGTATCATAGTTCTTCTCTTTTTCTCGAGAATTTCAAGAAGTTTACGAAAAACAAACAAGTGGTATGGATATTTCGGTAATTCGGTACAAGGGCGAGATTTGGATGATTCTAAAAATTATGATACTCGTCATTCACGTTCTTCTTATCCCTTCATTATCATTTAATATCGAATGATTCATTTTTCTTCTTCCTCTTCTTCGTCTTCCTTTTCGTTCCTTTTTTTCTCTTTTTTTTTTTGTTTTCTTTTTTTTTTTTCTTTTTTTTTTTTTTTATGTTCGACGTTTCCGATGCGCGCCCACGAATCGACTTTATCATCATCGATGAGGAAAGAAGAGAGAAGAAAAAAAGAAAAAAAGAAGAAGAAGAAGACATCGCAAGTTGGAATCGTCGCTTTGTTATTTGCCCGCTTCACGAATTTAGATTTAAGTCGAAGGAACTCTTTCTCTCTGTTATTCTCATTTTCACCTCTCCCTACCCTTGATTTCGATCGACTTCATTTTTATCGATGATCACATCGGATTTTCATCGCAATTCATTTTTATCGAATAAAAGTTCAAGATACTCTCTCTCTCTCTCTCTCTCTCTTGCTCTTACCTTTCCATTTACTTTCCTTTCTTCCATTCTTCTTTTTCGTGATTATTGACGATCGAATTAAAATTTTTATCAACGATCGGCATAGGATTTATAATAAAAATTGATTTCTATGGGAATAAATAGAGAAGAAAAGAAAAAAAAAAGGAAAAGAAAAAGAAAAAAAAAAATACGATTACATTCTGAATGAATCACATTTACTCTTTCTTTTCTTTGGGCGACACAAAAAGGTGAGTTTGGTATTTTAGAAAACATTATATTAACGACGAAGAAGAATTAAACTAACTACTTTACTAAATTACTAAAAGCCGGTTGTCGCTTATTAAAGTCGTACGAGAACGTACGTACGTGCGTGCATGCGTGCATGCGTTTGTTCACGGACAATTTCTGAAAAGATGACCTTGACTTGCATTCAACGCCATCGTGTTTAACGGCAAACGCGTAAGAACCAATATAATACAATACAATGCTAGTTACATTGAAGCTTTCTCTAGGACATTATAACCAAACCAAATTGAATAAATGGTTAATTCATCGAATGGATATTTTGAATGGAATTATACGAAACAAGGAAAGAAAATGAAAAAGGAGGAAGAAAGAAAAAAGAAAAGAAAAAATAAAGAAAGAAAAAAGATATTTCTAATATATGAACATCTATAGAATATATAGAATGTTTACTGGACGTGTCAGACGATTGAGATCCGATAACGAATTCCCCGGGAAAAGAACTATCGTAAATTTTTTGAACTGTGCGTAAAGGTCAGGGCCAACACGGAAACGTTTCGTTCGTTATTTTATCAAGACTTTTATCGATCCCGATGAGCGACATTTCAAGTTTTTATAATTTGTTCGATCGAACGGAAAATTCGTCAATTTGATCGAAGGAAATGATGTCAAAGTTGTCTTCATCTCTCTCTCTCTCTCTTTCTCTTTCTACATACATATATATATATATATATGCTTTTCTTTGTTTAATTATTTCATCGAGGATATCGCATAATAATAATAATAAAAATAATAATAATAATAATAATAATAATAATAATAATAATAATAATAATAATAATAATAATAATAATAATGACGATAATGATAATAAAAAGAAAAAAAAAGTAGAAAAGGAAGGACCATTACAGATTTTGTCGAATATGATATTTCTTTTTTTTTTTTTTTTTTTTTTTCTTTACGTTAATTTATTAAAAAATTCTTACGACCTTTCAAGAGCAAGTCGATACATAAAAAAGAAAGAAAAAAAAAGAGTAAAGAAAGAAAAAAAAATCAGAAAAAAAATAACTAGCCAACCGATGAAGATTAATTTGTGAATATGCTTGGTTGACTTTTAACAGTCGTGTTTTCGCGGTTATCTTGCGTTAAGCTCTTTGTAAATCTGGCGTTATCGGTTGGCGCGACTTCTCTTTTACAACACGAACGTTTCGGCGCCCGAAGCGCTCTCTCTCTCTCTCTCTCTCTCTCTCTCTCTCTCTCTCTCTCTCTCTCTCTCTCTCTCTCTCTCTCTGCTTCCCCCGGCGATTTACGTGTAAATCTTTTCTGGGAGTATTTAAAGAGTAAAGTTTAAAGAGCTCGCTGATTAAACGAAGATTACGGTCGATTACGGTATTTAATTAATACGATCGTCCCGTATATATCTCACCCTCTCTATTTTGTTTCGTTACGAATATAAATTGCAGTTAAAGAAAATTAATTGGAGTTTCATTCGATAGGAAAATTTTCGACG